AAGCAATCTATTCCAACCTTATACCAGGCCCTGATATTTCTTGCTTTATGATCTCATGGCAGAGTTGGCAAGGTTAGGGGACATTGTTTTTGACATTGAGTTAAAGGCAATAAAAGACACTGTTAAGGTTCTGATTGATAACTGGTATTTTGATGATTTCTGGTTTGTTCTATAATATAGAAAGACACTCATGTTACAGATGAAAGATAGTAAATAATCTTCTTGTTGTTTCAATGAGAATATATATAAACATTTACATGTACTTTCTGAACTATTGTTACAGTAGTATGATACTATCTGAACTATTGTTACAGTAGTATGTTACTATCTGAACTATTGTTACAGTAGTATGATACTGTCTGAACTATTGTTACAGTAGTATGTTACTATCTGAACTATTGTTACAGTAGTATGTTACTATCTGAACTATTGTTACAGTAGTATGTTACTATCTGAACTATTGTTACAGTAGTATGATACAATCTGAACTATTGTTACAGTAGTATGATACTGTCTGAACTATTGTTACAGTAGTATGATACTGTCTGAACTATTGTTACAGTAGTATGTTACTGTCTGAACTATTGTTACAGTAGTATGATACTATCTGAACTATTGTTACAGTAGTATGATACTATCTGAACTATTGTTACAGTAGTATGTTACTATCTGAACTATTGTTACAGTAGTATGATACTGTCTGAACTATTGTTACAGTAGTATGATACTGTCTGAACTATTGTTACAGTAGTATGATACTGTCTGAACTACTATTGTTACAGTAGTATGATACTGTCTGAACTATTGTTACAGTAGTATGTTACTATCTGAACTATTGTTACAGTAGTATGATACTATCTGAACTATTGTTACAGTAGTATGATACTGTCTGAACTATTGTTACAGTAGTATGATACTATCTGAACTATTGTTACAGTAGTATGATACTGTCTGAACTATTGTTACAGTAGTATGTTACTATCTGAACTATTGTTACAGTAGTATGATACTGTCTGAACTATTGTTACAGTAGTATGTTACTATCTGAACTATTGTTACAGTAGTATGATACTATCTGAACTATTGTTACAGTAGTATGATACTATCTGAACTATTGTTACAGTAGTATGATACTATCTGAACTATTGTTACAGTAGTATGATACTGTCTGAACTATTGTTACAGTAGTATGATACTGTCTGAACTATTGTTACAGTAGTATGATACTATCTGAACTATTGTTACAGTAGTATGATACTATCTGAACTATTGTTACAGTAGTATGTTACTGTCTGAACTATTGTTACAGTAGTATGATACTATAATGGTGGTTGAAAAAATAATTAGTATATTTCAATTTTAAAATTGGATAATGTACAAAAACACTCTAGTCCTAAATGGTGGAAAATACATCTCATGACATATGGACACCCCTAAATCTCTAGAGAATGTGAACAAAGAGGGTGTTGATTACATCTAGTCCAGTATGATTATATTACAATGATAATACTGGTGTTTGATGTTAGTTAATGTTAACTGAAATCTTCCATTCTCTTCTATAATAAATAGTTAGTTGTGTATCTCTGATACTTAAAGACTTTGTTTGTTTGTCAAGTTTAAGACTTATTGTTTGAATGATATGTTTTCATCATTCTTGTTATCTTATTAAATTTCTATGTTCTTTATAATTTTGTATTCTGTATGAGTTTGTAGTAAATTTAACTGTAATAGTTTATTATAACTGTATATTAGTTGAAGATGTTAACTGTACAATAGGCTGCTTATACAATTTCAAAATACATGTTTGGAGAAAGTAAATGAGTAACTTGTATTATAAGTACAACCAAAGAGTTTATTTCTTTATTTTCTGATGTTAAATTCCAAATTAAAGTTTTGAAATATGAGACTATCATGTGATCTAATTAAAATAATTTCTTCTTATTCTTGTTACCAGGAAACATTTAAATGAAGTAAAATATTTTCTTTTAATTTCAACTGAAAAGAGTTGAGTTAAACTGATGAAGAGGAAAGAGAACTCAAAAGAGAAGGCTTTGACTAACTTGTATCAATCCTAATGAAAGAGAAGAACAGCTTTGAAATAGGGTGATTCATTTTGTCAGTGGCACATTTAATTACTGCTTTAAGTTATCAGTACCATTTTATAAGATACTGATGACTAATATTGTCCCAGATTTCATTTCATCTTCACTTGGTTGATGTTCTCATGTTCTCATTGTCTCTGATGTACATTGCCTGTAGGATAATACAGATTGGATTAAAACTGCACCTTGGATACTGGTAAAGTGATGTTTCTATATTGAGAAAGTTTTCTATAGAGTTTTGAATATATGCAATGATTTTAATACAAAACAATAGAAAGAGAATGATTTCTAAACGGAAACAACAAAATCATAGATTCTGAGAAATGATATTAAAAAACGATATCCTTGAACGTATTCAAAATCTTTCAAAGATATTTTGTTGAAATTTTGTGCATGTATATTAGATTTGTTAGTAAATTAATTTTTTTTTTACAAAATGAAGTGTCAGATTTTAAGATATTCTGTGAAACATGATTTCAAGATTCATTAAACAGAACAGATTTTTATACTAGGTACAATAGTCTTATCTTGTTATAAAATTATTAGAGTTTTATTGAAATTATCCAAGCATGAAATATAACAAACATTTCTCTAACAATAAGAAAATTATAATTATTGAAAGAATGTGTTTTATTCATGGCTGAAGAACTTGATATAATGAAAGTTTGATTTAATCTAAAAGATAATCTAATTAGTCATGAACCAACATTTCTACACAAAACTTTCAGATCAACAGACAGATTTTATGTTGTCTGCTTCACATCAAAGAGAAAAATAACATCTGACTATAATAGAATTGATAATTAGTAGAAAAATAGAAATGGATGTGGTCAACAGCAAACAATGGTCTCATCTTAATCACTGTCCATTATCAATCTTCAGATTCATTGCTCTGACCACTGCGGACACTGTCCACTCTAATGTTTACTTGACATTTGTCCACTGTTGTCAAATTGGGCGTTTAATAGTCTTTGTCTTCTAGACAGATAAAGTTAAGTGCTCTCATTCAGCGTTGCCAATTATCACCGAGTGGGGTACAAGTAATTATTGTGATAGTCAATGAGGTTTTTGATGGGGAAATTGAGATGACTGAATTATGAGTGGTTATAGGCTATTTTCTATATTATTGTCAGAGATTTTTGTGCTATAATTAATAGTAATAAGAATTATTTACTAACAGTATTCATTTTTACTGTTTGAATATTGTTCATGTTTTCATTTTCAATATTTTCATAGTCGAGTGTAAATATTACGTATTTTGAAATTTCAAATTTGAACTGACTGTCATCATACAATTAGTCATTGTCAATTATTTGTTTTTATTATGTTATATGATATTAGTACATCATGACTTGTGTGATAAAATTTGTCCATAAGATCAGATGATAGAATGAGTTAATTAATTTTGAGAAGGAAATATTCACTTCCTAATTTGATTCACTTATTCTGAACTGTAGAAATGAAGTATATTAATCAAGTTATATTTTAATCAGATCAGATGTGTTAATTTTGAAAAGTTTCTCAGATTTCATGTGATTTTAAATCATACCAATCTGTGAGATGGAATGTGATTTTAAATCATACCAATCTGTCAGATTTCATGTGATTTTAAATCATACCAATCTGTCAGATTTCATGTGATTTTAAATCATACCAATCTGTCAGATGGAATGTGATTTTAAATCATACCAATCTGTCAGATGGAATGTGATTTTATATCATACCAATCTGTCAGATTTCATGTGATTTTAAATCATACCAATCTGTCAGATGGAATGTGATTTTAAATCATACCAATCTGTCAGATGGAATGTGATTTTATATCATACCATTCTGTCAGATGGAATGTGATTTTAAATCATACCAATCTGTCAGATTTCATGTGATTTTAAATCATACCAATCTGTCAGATGGAATGTGATTTTAAATCATACCAATCTGTCAGATGGAATGTGATTTTAAATCATACCAATCTGTCAGATGGAATGTGATTTTAAATCATACCAATCTGTCAGATTTCATGTGATTTTATATCATACCAATCTGTCAGATTGCATGTGATTTTAAATCATACCAATCTGTCAGATGGAATGTGATTTTAAATCATACCAATCTGTCAGATGGAATGTGAATCTTTTCATTCATCAATATAATATTTTCTATTATTATAACCTTTTATATTTACTATGACCTTTCACCTCTCAATCATCCTACCAAAATATCCTGATAGTCTCTCATACTGTATTCCTGCAATTCCTACTCACAGAGTTCAGTATAATTAGAAATATATGTTTTTAATTAAAATTTTATACTGATATTCTCTCTATATAGAAACGTTCATGTTGAATCCAGTTTGTTTTCTGTGAAATAGAGAAACTCAACAGAAAGCATTACCATGTAACACACTTGACTTTGATATTCTCTCCCATTGATTCTCTCCCTCTGACTTTTTTTTAAACAATTCAGTTTTTAAGTCATAAAAAAGATCAGACTTTATCAGTTATCAGGCAGACTTAATTTCTGCAATTTTTACATTAGAGAAATTTAATTTTAAAAAACTAATAGCTTTCATTCATCATGACAAAAAATATCAAACCAGTTCTCGTCACATATATAAATATTTATTACATAGATATACCTGTAGACAGAAGCCATCGTCTTTAGGAAAAATAAACTAATAAAGTTTGTCTGCTGTTAAGTGGGCACTAGATCTTGACCAACAATTTGTTGAGAATATTCATATATCCCACAAGATAAAAATATTTAGATTTGATTTAAAAGTTATTGTGTATAATTTCAGGTGAAAGAGAAGAAGGGATGTAAGATAATTAAGACTGACCAGATGACCAGTACTAGTTGACCACAGTCAACCATCTATTACTATAGTTATCATTCATCATGATACCAATCTATACATTAGTACTGTTTTTACTAACATTAATTAATCTAACAGGTAGGTACATCTATTTATAAATAAACTGGTATACCAGATAATTTGCTTATTAATTAGTATGATATATTATACCTACACAAAATTATTTTACATTATAGTAATAGATTTTCAAAAATAAAACTTTATCAGAATTAGAAAAAATGAGAGAATTACTTGTTGCCATGGCAATGGATTTCAAATGTCGCCTAAAACTTGAATAATTGCTGAAGATAACAGAAGCTACTATTCCACATTCCCCAAAATTTATGTCATTGAGTTTTTCAATGCCTGGTGTTGTTTGCCTCATGTTAGTATGTTAGTGGCTCTCTTTCCGCCCATCTTTCTATTGATTGAAAGAAATGCCACTGGGAATCTTCAGTTATCAGCACAATCCGTTTATAAACACAATAAAAACTTAGGTATATATTTCTATTGATAAGATCTTTGACCAGTTCAATTTTTCTCCAGACCTATTGTTGTTGATTATGTAAAAACGTGTTTGAATCAGCCTGTAATTTCTGACATAAGCTAATGTTCTGATCAGTTTGAATCTAACCTATCTTTTCAATAAACTTTGTAATATCTATTGTATTTTATCAGATACAGCATCATATAAACCACCTATGATAGATGAAAGTGTATTTAGAACTAGAAATATCTATTATAAAGAAGAAGAATCTATAGAAATACCATGTGCTGCAGAAGGTCATCCTACACCTGTGTAAGTATTTTTAAAGATAATATCCTGGAACCTGATAGTCTGGATAATCTAGTAGAAAATATCCCCATTAAGAAAAGGTATTGAATATTGATAATAGTATATGGAATCAGGTATAGCTGAGAAATACTGGGTTGTTACATATGATACTGATTAGTAATTACTACACAAAATCAACAAGTTTCAAACTCCCCCCCTGCTCTGACAAATTTTTACATGGATCTATAATTTGTATTATCAGATATTCATGGATTAAAGATGGAGAAGAGTTAGATTTAGAATCTGAAGAAGTTAATGGACGTATGTCATTGATCTCAGGAGTAGGAACATTACGTATTAAACCAGCTCATGGTAGTGATGAGGGAGTGTATCAGTGTCAAGCACGCAATGCACATGGTACCAGTTTGTCTGTGAGAGTAAATGTCCTTCAGGCTAGAATGGATCCATTTAAAACTGTGGAAGATCCTGAAATATTACGACCACTGCTAGCTCATTCCTTGAAACTAAGTTGTGGTCCCCCAGTGAGTGTACCACCAGCTAAAATTAGTTGGATTATAGATCAGAAAGTGGATGAAGGAGATTATGATACAGATTATGAGTCTGAAAATCAGGATTTATTTGATTTTGTTGATTTAGATGATCGGGTAACAATGGATTACGCAGGTAGATTTAAAACTATTTAAAACAACAATATGGTGATATTGATAAAACCTAGATTTTAATATCTATTTAGGATTTGAATTTATTGAGTTTTAAAAGAATACAGAGATCTCTATCCCTAACACTCTATGAAATTATATAAAAATGTTTCAGCAAGTATTCAGACCATTATTGATTCTGTGGTAGAGATTTGACCAATATTATCATGATGTCATTGTAATTGATCTGTGTAAAATTCTGTAAATATTTCTGTTGGATATTACAGGTAATTTATACATTACTAATGTTAAACCAGAAGATGCTCAAGATGGAAATAAATATGTATGTTTTTCTAATAATGAACAGTTAAGATCATTTGGTAAAGGTGAAGACAAGATTATTGAACCATTAGGAAGTAAGTCATGATTAATTATTATATTTATTGTTGGTGTATTTAATATAATAAACTTCAAATCAGTATTCATTGTTATTAAAGAGTAATGATCTAGCCCAGAATAATTTCATTGTTTCAGTCTGGTATTAAGATAATCAATGATATATAAGGTGCAAGATTTAAAAATACTCCTAGGATGGGGACATGATTTGTTGAATTGCCAGCCCTGTATTATACACTTCACCACACTAGATACCCTATTTAATTACACCTTTAGAACAATTATCTTATTACCAACTTTATTTCTAAGATTTGAAGTTTATCTTTCTGTATATTTTCAATCATTAATATTTTTATTTTGATTTTCTTTTCATTGAGTTTGGCATGAACCATTGTATTTGATTAAAACAGACAGACATTATGATTTAGTGCATTCAAACATCTATAAAATATTACAGTTGAAAAAAACATTTTATTATTTTTATTGCACATTTTGTTTGTCTTTTGTTTCATTGCACATTCTTGTGTTTTTATTTTTGTTTTATATAATTTTTGAAGATATTTATATATAAAGTAAAATAAGAATTAAAATTTCTAGTTATTTTCTATTTATTTTTATTATCTATCTTTGTTTGCTCTTTGTTTATTTATTTTTAATTATTTATGCACCAAGTTTTATTAAATTATATTTTGCTATTTATTTGTAGATACAGCTAAGAGTAAGTGTAATAATTGTCATGTAATGGGTGGTGACTGAAGTTATGACAATTAATATTATTATTATTGTAGCTTTCAGTAGATATTATAGTTTATTAATATACCTTATATAAATAGTGTCAATCTCTTTTAATAATTCTAAATAGTGCCTATTGTCTGAGAAAAACAAACAGTGTTTTTTTAATTAATCATTATAGATATGATAAGAGATATTTTGCAATTAGTGATGTCTACACTTAGATTTAGTTGAATTGCAGGAACCACAGATGTCTGGGTGTAAATTGATAGGCTATTATTAATATTTCTACTGATAATATTTTGAAGTTTAAAAGGCTAAATGTGAAAATTATATTTGAATCTGCTGAAACTTGTGAATTTAAATTGAATTCAGCTAACAACATATAATGTTATTTTTTTCAATTCTTGATACATACCTCCTAGAAATAATCTGGGTATTTAAAATAGTAGATGATAATATAGATGATAAATCTATCAAATAATTTAGATAAAAACTTAGAGATTGAAACTATAATTTCAGGAGTAGAAAAACAACTGTTAACCTTGGCAGTGTGGAGTCACCTTAACATTAGATTACTTACCCCTTTACCTTACTAGACTATTATCTCTTTTTCAAAACCTACACAACATTCTTATAATTATTGATATACATTATGGTTTTACAATATATATTTGGAATAAAATGGCTTATTATCAACAATAAAATACATTGGTGTATCAATAACTACAAAATTCAACATAACTAATTGGAAAGAGGTTACTTACTAGTCAGAATATGTCCCTTTTCGTCCAATAGTCCCAGCATGGAGATGAATAGCTTATGAGTATATTTACAGCATTTGTTGAGTTTTGAGATGTAAAGAATGCTGACCAGAATTATCTTTTAAATTTAAATCTTAAAGTTGTAATTTCAATATTTTGAATGAGTGTTGAATTTAAAAACAGCATGGTTAACATTATTGTAACTAGTGATTTTCAAACATGACAATATAGTACTTCTATCTTGGTACACTCTCATACATTCACAGTAACCTCAAGTATATTTGATGGATGCCTTGAATGAGATCTTCTGGCCACTTCAGGGAAATGTACAACTCTCAAACAACACCTCAATATGATATGATTTTATTTTGCAATAAAGATGACAGAAAAATTGAGAAATGAAAATTATTTTTTAGACTGAAAATCACTGTGTTTATTGTTGGTTGATGAATTGTGTGTTTGTTGTATGGAAGGATAAGAATACCTTCAATCAGACAGGTTTTCATATTTTACTTTTCTTTTAAGCTTCATCATTTCATACTCTACTTCAACTTAAACCAGCATTTTATAACGCCTACTAATCATATGCATAATGGCTTCCATGCATCAGCTTTATCTTGTTATGTGCCTTTTTAGCATGCTCTTTTTAACTATTTCTGACAGGACCAAAACATATACCAAATCAACAAAACAATTTTATGACAGAATTGTGATATTTTATGAATTTTTAGAATTTGAGTCTTTGTAGGCTTCTTCTTCTTTATACTGTATTTTTTTTGATATATTGTATTCTATGCATAGCAAAGTATATGCACTGAAAACAAAGGGGTTTTATGTGGATAATAATGTTCAAATCTTTTCTCTGAATTTACAATAATCTATTTATATCTGTTATATTTTCTTTTATTTGATTTTATGTTTATATGTAAATTTGTAAATTTTGTTTGCTATGATTATTCAGATATATAATGAAGCTCATTTCATTCTGGAATAGTGTTGATATTTAGTTGTTAAAATCATGAATTTAAATTCAACTTTTCTATATTTTAGTGCGTGATTCTAACATGCCTGTTGAAATGTTATGGCATTCTGATACTGATGTCATGGGACTTGTTGGTAAAACTGTACGCTTCAAATGTATTTTCTCTGGCAAGTAAGTATCTGTTATTAAATTCTGTATGTTTAAATAATATATTACATAATTATCATAATGAAGTCTGTAAAGAAAAGATGTTAGAGAAGATTTTAGTACTGATTGACAAGATAAATAGCCTGTCTTCTATCTTCTATATTGCATCATCTTATACACAATCTAAACCTCAAAATCAATGATGTCATGAACATCAAAATCAATCCATACAAGGGTAATAAAAAATGTTTGCCTGTGCTTCCGTGACAAAATTAACGCATTGCTGAGAGGATTGATATTATCAAACTAGTCTGATATTTGTCAGTGATTGTTTTATCCTCTGCAAGACAAAACATCATCATCCATCATCTACAGCCTGTCAATAAAACTCATGACAAGACCAGTTGGCACAAATATCATCAACCAAGACTGTTTGTGTTCCCTCACCATAAGGCAAGATTAAAATAGCCTGTAATGGTATTACAAACATTTTATAAGGTCGTGTTTTAGGATATTAAAATTGTGGAAATGTTTAAACATGGCAGATAGATAATCTAATCTTATAGTCATGACTTGATATTTGTATCTACGAGACCTGATTTTGATTGAAAGAGTATTGAGATTATGGGAAGTGTTATCAACTGTAGACTGTAATTTACCATTAGTAGACATATTGATTTCTATTTAATCAATATTGTATTATAATAAACAGCTTCTATATAGTCTGGAAACATAATAGCCTTCATATATTTAATATTCTCATATCCTTAACTTATCTCCAAACTTATAGACTTCTACCTTAAATTCTGACCAGGATATTATTTATTATATTTGATTCAACAATATATTTATACATGCAATATACTCCTGTTATAAAATTTATATACCCAGTATACTCCTGTTATAAAATTTATATACCCAGTATACTCCTGTTATAAAATTTATATACCCAGTATACTCCTGTTATAAAATTTATATACCCAGTATACTCCTGTTATAAAATTTATATACCCAGTATACTCCTGTTATAAAATTTATATACCCAGTATACTCCTGTTATAAAATTTATATACCCAGTATACTCCTGTTATAAAATTTATATACCCAATATACTCCTGTTATAAAATTTATATACCCAGTATACTCCAGTTATAAAATTTATATACCCAATACACTCCTGTTATAACATTTATATACCAAGTATACTCCTGTTATAAAATTTATATACCCAATATACTCCTGTTATAAAATTTATATACCCAATACACTCCTGTTATAAAATTTATATACCCAATATACTCCTGTTATAAAATTTATATACCCAGTATACTCCTGTTATAAAATTTATATACCCAATATACTCCTGTTATAAAATTTATATACCCAATATACTCCTGTTTTAAAATTTATATACCCAGTATACTCCTGTTATAAAATTTATATACCCAATATACTCCTGTTATAAAATTTATATACCCAGTATACTCCTGTTATAAAATTTATATACCCAATATACTCCAGTTATAAAATTTATATACCCAGTATACTCCTGTTATAAAATTCACTTCTGTAACCTTATCTGTGTATTGTAATCTCAATCTTGTGTTATTATTTTGTAGTCCTCAACCAAGAATAACGTGGAAGCGTATGGAAGGTTTAGCGTTTGATAATAATAGAATGAAACAATCAAGTGAAAAGTTTGAATTTGTTATAAAGAAAGTACAGTATGGTGATGCTGGAGAATATGAATGTTCAGGTTTTAATGGTATAACTCGAAATCCTATTAGACACAGATTCAGACTGATTGTTGAAGGTAAATATGTTTTATCATTCTGTAAATACTAACTTTACCACAATAATATTACCTACAAGAATCAAACGTTGACAAACTTCTTGATAACACAACACACCTAAGTGTTTTCACTGCAAATATTCTGCATTTCAGTCAAAATAACTATCAATTCTATTCAAATCAGGCTTTTATCTTATAAGAATATATTTATATCATATCATTGAACATTTAAGATTCCTTGCTTAAAGTATAATAGAACGCAATTATATATGTTAAATTTTGTAGCCAAGCCACGCTGGACTAAGAAACCACAGGATATTGAAGCTGGTGTAAAAGAAGATGCTACATTTCTGTGTGAAGGAAAGGGCAGTCCGGAACCAAAAGTTCAGTGGTTTATCAATGGAAAGCCTATAGAACGTAAGTATTTAATATATAAACATCATGATACTACAGTACAGATGATTTAACCATTTATTTTCTGATACATTGTATTATATCATTGTCCATTGAGATCAAATTCAAAAATCCAGAATCTGGCATAAACAATAAATGATAGAAATTTATTTAAAAATCTAATTATGGCAATTAACTTTAAGAATATCAACACTATTTTGAATTTACATTTATTCATACTAGCTTTTCCACCTTGCCCATTGCCCACTACTAGGTATTCAATACATTAAACAATATTTGTTATTTTATATGTCTATAGAAGCAGCTAATATAACACGTAGAACTTATCGTAAAGGTCAATTAACATTTACTGACCTACAGAAGATGGACAGTCAGGTGATTCAATGTAATGTATCTAATAAACATGGCTTTCTGTGGGCAGATGTTTACCTCAATGTATTAGGTAAGTATTATTTATCTCTGTGATATAACTTCTACACTATTTTATTGTATAATACTCGTTAGTTTTATATCAGACGACATTTCAACAATCTACATCTCCAGGTGAACTCAGGAAATATGGTACCAGAAGTTATATATATACACAAAAATATAACAATAGGAAGAATTAATTAGGGATTAGGAGTGGCATTAAACATTAGGGTGACAATAAGACACAGGTTGAAAATTAGATCAGTTGTCTGAAGGTCACAGAGAGTGAAACTCTGAGTAACAACATGTTTTTTTAGATTCTGTTTTAATATTTCTAATATTGATATAGAACAGATAAACTAATGTTGCAATTCTGACAAAATTTTCTATTTGTAGACTGAAAATTATTTGATATTTGTTAAGAATATAAAACAAAGAATGACTTGTGCAATTTGAACAAATATTTCTTTGATTCAAAGATAAATCTGTGACTGTTGAAAATAAACCTTCTACGTTTTCATTGACTCTTAAAGAGATTGTAAAGATGTTCCCACAAATGTTTATGTGTATCTGGGACACTGATAACATTCATTTTCTTTATTCCAATTTTGAATCAGGCGTCTGTGGATCCTGCAATACCACTAAAACTAAGTGTTGGATGACTATTAGATATCTGATGTATATTTGTTATTCCAGCTATCCCTGCCGCAGTGAAAGCCGGTCCAGAACCATTATTAAAGGTAGCAGAAGAGAAATCAGTGACTATAAAATGTCAAACAGCAGGTAAACCAACACCTGTTGTTACCTGGTTTAAAGGAGATCAACCACTATCGGGTGGTCGTTATAAAATATTACCTATTGGTGACCTGGTTATAGCTGTAAGTATGTTTTAGTTTAGTTTATTCCCAATCTTTATAATGAAGCAGGTGTTTAACTCGTACAAATACTTTTAGTGGCATATGGCTTATTTGAAATTTTTTTGAAGAAAAATTGAAATTCTCTTGCCAATAGTGTAAAACGAAGCCTTGATTTTTTGTTGACATAGTGAAAGAGAAAGATTGTAGGGTCATAATTTATCTTGTTTGTATTTGGTATATATTTTTAATCTTATGATACTTGTTATTTGTAGGGAGTGAGAAAAAAAGACAGTGGAAACTACAGATGTTTTGCTAGAAATTTATTTGGTAAAGATCAAGCTAATGGTACTCTGGTTGTTAGAGGTAAAACCCAGTATGATTCAGTTTTATATTGTCAGCACCTATTTTAATTATTAACTCATGTAATATATTTACCTGTTATCTTGTATTTCTGCTGGATAGATTTAAGAGTTTCTCTTTATATCTCTGCTATTTTGATGATTTCAGAGAAAACTAGAATATCTCAGGAACCTAACAATGTACAGTCAGTAAATGGTAACGATGCTGTGTTCAGATGTCGAGCGTTCACAGATCCGAATGAACAACATAGATTAAGATACACCTGGTTACGTAATGGTCAGCCTCTGATTATAGACAATGACAGAGTTATACAGCAATCAGAGGAATTAATAATAAAAGATTCTATGAGTCAAGATACAGGAAACTATACTTGTATTGCTTCTAATGGTCTTGATGAAGATAGAGCTTGGGCTACATTAAAAGTTAAAGGTAGGTTTAATTTCAGTGTCAGTAAGATGTGTTTCTACAACATGATTACATTATGATGACAAAACCTGAACATTTTAAAAGTAATATATTAATACAGTATTGTTATCATAGACTCATCATCATCAATAATAGATTCCAAGTTGACAAACCAGTCATAGGGTCACGTCAGATGTTCCATAAGATTGAACTAGGCCACAATACACATAGTACTAGAGCTCAAATTTAAAACTTGTGTAAACTTGTAATCAAGAGCTGAAAGCTAATATATAAAGAATAACATTAGGAGAAATCTTGTTTAACAGAATGATCTAACTATTTATATGTAACACTGTGAAATAGTTTGTCAGAGAGTACCTAGAGACAAAGCAGTAAAAAGTAAAATAATTGTATTTCAGCACCACCAGATCCACCTACTAATGTTACATTATTGGAATGTTTAGCTCGTCAAGCTACTATAATCTGGGTGTTTGATCAATCACAAGATAACTTTTCTCCACTACAAAACTTTATCATGGAGTATAACACATCATATGCACCTGATCATTGGAAAGTTGCCTCTCGTCCAAATGCCAACGCAAGAAGAGCAGAAGTTGAACTTTCACCCTTTGCTCATTATAATTTCCGAGTAAGAGCAGTGAATAGGATTGGGAAGGGTGAACCAAGTGTTCATAATCAGTTGATCTGTCAGACACCTGTAGCTAGACCAGATCATCATCCTGAAGGTGTTAAAACTGTAGGAGATAAAACTAATTATCTGGTTGTAGAATGGGAGGTAAGTTCTGTTGTAATATTTCTTTATTATCAATAGATGATTTCATTGTGATATTTCTGTGAATCTTTAAGGTAAGGAGTGATCTAGCATATTGAAAACTCTGTTTCTCTTTCACTGATTTTTATACGTATATTGACATCAACCATGTCCGTTATTCGGTACATCTGTCCATTTCTTGACCTCAATTTGTGATTTATTTTAGCCAATGGAAGAGATAGATCTGAATGCTGATGGTTTTTATTATAATGTAACTGTTCAGAGAGAAGGGGAAGATACTGTAGATTCCTATATTATAGATGATTTTACTGTCAGCAGGAAAGAAATACCAGTAGATACTGTTTATAAACCTTATATAGTTACTGTACAAGCTAAAAACCAAGTTGGAGAACCTTTAAAAAATGCAGATTCAATTATTGGTTATTCTGGTCAAGCAAGTAAGCAACCCAGAAAATGCCCTTTTTTCTGTCCATGTACTTTTCTGATATAAGTTTCAGACCAATAAGAAATAAGCAAGATGAATTGTGTTGGGTGTTAAAGAAGATTCTCTCCTATAGAAGCACTGGCCAAGGTCTCAAGAAAAGAATATACTGCTATAAATGATCAATTTAAGTAATACAATCTGTTTTGAATTATTGAGTTTGGTCAGCAGTAGGTGTTAAATTTCTTTTAATTTCCAATGTTTGAAGTCAATGTAGTGTTTTATACCATGATTAAATAAAAAATAATAATAATTCAAACTTATTGTCTTTCTAGGACCACTTGTAGCACCAGAAAACTTTGAATTAGATCCTGAAAAGAATGTAACTGCTACTAGTGCTGGTTTTCAATGGGATCCTGTTAATGATGATCCTGATGTAATCCAGGGTGTTTTTAAGGGCTATAAAGTAAGATTACCTCAGTCTATCTAGATAATATAACTGAGCATACTGGTTGATATTACTTACATATTTATATTTCATCAAGTGTAGTTCAGACTAAATATCTTCAGAAGAATCAAACCATTGTTTTAACAAATGAAAGTTTAAAAATTAACAAGATTATCAGAAATCTGTGTATAAAAGATGTAGTTAAAAACAAACTGTAGTTTAATCTAGGAGAGATAATGGTTAAAGTGATTATTAATATTACTTGATATATGAAAAGTTATTTAGATTAAATTGATTCCAAGAGAGTAAACAAAATGAATCTGGAAGAAAAAGACATTGTTCTTTGTTTTTTTTTCTTGTGTTAAATATGAAGTTTGATTTGATTTGGTTTGTTTATAGATTAGAATCTGGAAGAAAGACCAGAGGGAATCAACAACTAAAGAAATATTTATACCACATACCCCTAATGCTGATGGAACCAGACAAAGAAGACAAACACAGAAGATCAAGGCTGAAGTTCCAAACTTAGCTTCATATTCTGATCTAGAAGCTGATGTGGTGACTACAAATGAATTCTTTACATCTGTCAATGGTAGTAACATTGTTAACTTCTCTACACCAGAAGGAGGTAGGTTATAATATGGTCTTATATATTCTGTGTTAGTTTCAGAAAGAATTAATTAGTAATGTCTACAGTGAAGTAAGAAATAATTCTTGTAAAAAGGAAAATAAGAAAATGGATTATATATTAAATATATGTATGAATTATTATTTCAGTACCCTCCAAAGTAAGATATTTTGAAGCTGTTAATGTAGGATCAACACATTTCACGTTACATTGGGGAGAACCTAAAGAAAAAAATGGTATTATTACTGGTTATGATTTAGGATATCAAAGAGGTCTGTATATATAATTTATTTTTGGTGTTGTTGAAGTCACTATATTATTTTTGTAGATTTCAATTTATCTTGAACTCTGTGTTTTTCATGTTTTCATCATCCTTTTTCATGTTTTCATCATCCTTTTTCATGTTTTCATCATCCTTTTTCCTGTTTTCATCATCCTTTTTCATGTTTTCATCATCCTTTTTCATGTTTTCATCATCCTTTTTCCTGTTTTCATCATCCTTTTTCATGTTTTCCTCAAAGATGGGAGTTGAATTTTATAGATATTTATTGTGATATTTATTGTGATATTTATTGTGATATTTATGGTTTTTCTTAAGTTTGAAATCTTGAAATGCAATATTCAAAGAAATATCACAATAAATATCACAATAAATATCACAATAAATATCACAATAAATACCCATTTGTGGATTTGTTCCAAGACTTTATGTAGAGATATCTCTTACTCTTCTAGTAAATGGAATCATGTATGAAGAAACTAAAATAGCTGAAAAAGTAGATTCTAGAACTAGAAGAACATATTTAGGTGGTCTTGAACCAGGAACTAATTATAGATTATATTTGTGGGGTCGAACACAGCAAGGACGAGGTGCTGCTTATTTTATAGATGTTAAAACTGCTGAGAAAGGCATTCGTAAGTATATCTACTTTATTTCTCATTGGGAAGTTCTAGTAATAATATACTCAATATAAATCTAGTTAGTATGGTATTATAGTATTATATATCATCATAAGATGTGACTGTATTATATAAGTTTCATATAAGAACTGACAGCTGATTTCAGTAAGTGTTATATTATACAAATATACCTATTATTTATTTTATTATCAATCATAATTTCACAGCACTAGCCAAACCAAGAATATTAGAAATTCTTCCAAGACCAGACTCTGCTAATGTGACCTGGGAACTACCTCATGTTAAAGGACAGAGAGTTGGAGCTAAATATTTTATAGATTATAGAAAATATGGTCAGTACTCAATCTAATGTTTTTTATATATTATATATTGTGGTTAAGGATTGGTTGACTCTCATATAATTCCAAAATATATTATAGGTACACAAATTTATGAAGTTATTCACCACTGTCCTTTGTTATCCTCTTGACTTACTGGGACAGGCCATTCATTTTGACAAATCATATTTCAGTCTCAGAAACAGATCTTATTTTAGCTAAGCTAATAAGTTACAGAAACTCTTGTATTATTGGGTAATATTTACTGTCTAAAAATTTCTATCTTAGAACCTAATAGTAAAGTTTTGCTTAAAATATCATCTTTCCAATTAAGGTTTAGATTCCTGGAATACACATCCAGAACATGCCACTATGAATACCTGGCAAGTACTAGAAAACTTGGAATCTGGAATGACATATGAAATTAGAATAGTTGCTAAATCTGGTCAGAAAGGTGATGCTGACTTTGCTCAAATGGCCAGTGAAAAAAGAACATTTAAAACTGGAGGAGTGGGTATGTATAGATGTACATGATATTTCTATGTTGTTTTGTGGTAGTGGCTTTAATATTATTCAAAATCTGCTGAAGTGTGTTGTCTTTTTTCTGACTTTCTCTTTGGTTGTTTGGATATTATTAAATATAGATTCTCTCTGTTTGGGGTGAAAATAGGACAGGATTTGGTATGAAATTATCACTGAATGTATAATATTCAGATATATAATAATATATGATTTTATGATAGGCTATTGGTATCCTGTAATGGCACGACTTTATCATAATAACACTTTATCAAACAACACAGAATCATTAGACAGTGGAAATACAGAGGAGGTTTTTATTTCATTTATCTGGGTTGATTAATGTTGTCACAAAATAAAACCTTCAAAATTACTGTCATTTATTGTAGATTAGAATGTAGAATATACTAAATCATCCCTTTTAACTTAAACAATATATCTACTAATCACTTAATTAGATATACCATATTGATAAGTGTTACAGGTTTAATATTCTACCAAGTGAAAAGTTTGTTGTCATAGGATGAAATAAAACCCCTCAGATCAAAAGACAACTTTTAAATATCAGTGAAGTCATGAAAAGACAAGTTATAAATATCAATGAAGTCATGAAAAGACAAGTTATAGATATCAGTGAAGTCATGAAAAGACAAGTTATAAATATCAATGAAGTCATGAAAAGACAAGTTATAAATATCAATAAAGTCATGAAAAGACAAGTTATAAATATCAATGAAGTCATGAAAAGACAAGTTATAAATATCAATGAAGTCATGAAAAGTTAAATTCTTTATACAATTGAAATCATGTATGTAATGAAAAGTTCCCAATGATAAAAATACCTTTTGTCTAGAGCAGTGTTTTGGACACTCAATACTAATCAGGTCTTGAGACTGAGGTTATATTTAGTAGAGTAATTTAATAATAAATGATTATTTCAATGTGTTGTATATTAGGTATGAATACTTCAAAGCCAACTGCCCCAACATCCATTGTCTATAGTATAAATTATAAACCCTGGTTTGTTGGATATCTAGGTATGTTCAAAATAATCTTAAATTTAACTTTGAAAGTTTCATGCATTATTTGATTCTTTTGTTTTTTTATTGAAAATATTTATAAAGATAAAAGGAGCCTATGAAATTAAATAAATTCTCACAATTCAAATTTTAAATGTTATTTACACTGATCTTTTTAACCCCATGGAAGGAATGAAATGATTAAATTATCATGTTGTTCCATTGAACTACAATATAAATACTTCTAACTTTTCACTGTTTAAATTTAAAAAGATTTTACGGTTTTGGCAAAACTATGAGCAGATGAATTTGATGTACTGGTAATGTTCATGAAAAAAGGATTGTACTAAACAACCTAAAATAATTTCTCAGTGGCACCTAAAACATTTGTTTATTAAGAGACAGAAGTCACAGATTGTTATTTTGAAGTTTCTTTGTGTAGCCTCTTTAACATTGTTTATTAATAATATATATTTCAATGCCTTGCTCCTACTTTTACTTTTTGTTTGTTTATTTGATTGTTTGTTTTTATTTTCTTGCCTTGTTTAATTGTTAAAATAATTTAAATGATGTTGCATTGTGTCTCTAAGAATCTCTAATGAGGAAACAAGCATTAAAAATTCCTAAAATCCTACTATTTTATTTGGTGTTTCAAGGTTATGAGGTCTGATTTATGTATTGATTTTTCCCCATCCATCTCCCTAAAACTTAATATTTTACATTACTATCTTGTTTGTTAAATCTTGATGGTTGAGTAGCTCTGTACATTCATAGATTTTATTATATTTTAAATTTGTTAAAAGAAATGTTAATTGTATATTATATATAATAAGATAATATGTTAGTGTAGAAGCTTAGATATAAATATTAAAATAAGATATTAGACAATATTTATTTAGTATATATTAGTCAATGTATTGATCTATGTTAGTTAGAAACTTGATATTATCAACTCTAATTCATTCTCAGACTATCAGTACTAGTTTGAAAGTTGAAGGTGAAATTAGTATTAAGACAGGTATAGAATTAAAACAGTTGAATAATAGCAGGAATATAAGGTTATAATATAAGGTTATAATATATACTATGTTTGTTATTGTAGCTGCATCATCAAGTATACTATCAGCTGGTTGGTTTATTGGTATGATGGTTGCTATTGCTATATTATTACTAATACTAATTATCGTTTGTATTGTCAAGAGAAATAGAGGTGATAAATATCATGGTAAGTTCTGTTTCATTTCTTTAATCTTAAATTTCTTACCAAGTTCTTAATCTTACTTGATATGACACCCCTCCTTGATTCTATATACTAAATATTGTAGAGTGAAATAATCATTGTAGTATCTTCATGGTTAGTTAGAAACGTTCCTGAAGGAAATAAGACAGATTGTATTATATTTGATAATGATGATTATTATATATTATAGTACAAGAGAAAGAAAGATTACGAGGTAGTAATCCAGAGGATGTAGAGAATTTTAATGAATTAAATAAAAGGTATGTTGAAGTTTTCATTTCATTTTATAAATCACAATATTTAATGATTACATGAGTATTGACATCCATGATACTTTCTGGAGGATATTTTACACCATGAGCTTATTCATCCTAATTAGAATACATCTCTAGTTTAGTTTTGTGTTCTTTCTGCAAGTTACTACACTTAACAGGATCTGTAGATATTTGAGTGTAATTGATAAATCATTTGATTGGTTTGACCTGGTGTATAAATCATACATGGTAATTTGGTTGGGTTTGTTAGGTACATCACACGTTGAATTAGCCTGGATTATTTCAAAGGTATTTTTCTTTTTAAGTGATACAAATGGTATTGGACAAAGTAACTCATTTGATAATAATCCAGAGAAAATGCCATTAGGTGATGAAACAGACAGTATGGAAGAATATGGAGATGTAGATCCTGCCAAATTTAATGAGGATGGTTCATTTATAGGAGAATATGGTGGTCAAAAAGGAGTAGGGGACCAGCAAGCATCAACTATGGCCACATTAGTATAGTGATTTGAATATTGAAATTATGGTGAATAAATTATGTTATGTGATAAGAGGAAATAACATCAGTTTTTAAGGCCTTATTAACAACATCTGAACAATATCATTGATATGAACATTATTGATATGAACATTATTGACGAACACAGCTGAACAAAATTATTGATATGAACAATAATGATATGAACATTATTGATATGAACAAAAATGACTAGCAAAGCTGAATAAAATGAATTGTTTCATAAAAACAGATATGTAAATCAATGGATAAGAAAACCTTCCTCTACATATATAAGAAAATTAGGATAATGGTGAAAGAAGATGAAATACAGTGGTCCAACATGTTATTTCTGTATACAATATAATCAGTGCTATTATTTATTATATATTCAATACTATATATATATGGAGTATATATAACAGCTATGGTAGCTTTGGGTATAACCAACCAAACTCTCTGTTTGTCAATTGAGAAAGTTGTGTAGAAAGGGTATATTTTGGTTGGTTTAACTGGAGATATTTATATGTAGTTTGTTGCTGATGGTTGTTTAATACAACTTGTATTAATGACAAGATGTAGTTAGTGTTGAATTTAGTTTTCCACTACATTTTGCTAATATTGAAGTCTTTTTGTTTACACTTTTGTTTAGTTATGTTTTTGTTTACAGGTATGATTACTGTTGTTTGTTTACTTTAGAAGAATATTACGAGTACTATTTCTGTAAATAATTCCATAGTTTTACGTCATCTAGTCTCTTAATAAATCGTTTTCTAACCAGATGAAAATTTTAAAGTAAGGTAACAAAAGCAAGGAAGTGAATAGTAAAGATTTACTCACCAAGTAAAATATAGTATCTGTTTTGCTGGGTAGACTCAACAAGTAAAATATAGTATCTGTATTACTGGGTAGACTCACCAAGTAAAATATAGTATTACTGGGTAGACTCACCAAGTAAAATATAGTATCTGTTTTGCTGGGTAGACTCACCAAGTAAAATATAGTATTATTAGGTAGACTCACCAAGTAAAATATAGTATCTGTATTGCTGGGTAGACTCACCAAGTAAAATATAGTATTACTGGGTAGACTCACCAAGTAAAATATGATATCTGTATTGCTGGGTAGACTCACCATGTAAAATATAGTATCTGTATTACTGGGTAGACTCACCAAGTAAAATATAGTATTACTGGGTAGACTCACCAAGTAAAATATAGTATCTGTATTGCTGGGTAGACTCACCAAGTAAAATATAGTATTACTGGGTAGACTCACCAAGTAAAATATAGTATCTGTATTGCTGGGTAGACTCACCAAGTAAAATATAGTATTACTGGGTAGACTCACCAAGTAAAATATAGTATTACTGGGTAGACTCACCAAGTAAAATATAGTATTACTGGGTAGACTCACCAAGTAAAATATAGTATTACTGGGTAGACTCACCAAGTAAAATATAATTAAGAGACTAAGATAACAAGAAACTAATTATTAGTAGTTATTATTATTATTATTAATGGTTGTGAACTATATTGTTAATGATATATGCTGTGAATATGATAAGCTTATAAATGTTGTTAATGATAAGAACTAACAGTGGGTTAAGATTGGTTGTGCTTTGGTTGTTGTGTAAGTGATCACTGAAAATTTCTCCAAAACTATTATTAACTTTGACAAATTTAGTAATTTTTTTAGTACCATGATATTTTTTTATTATTTACAGTTGCCATATAAATAAATTAGCAATTTTTCTTCTGTTGAAATAATTTTAAAAATGATGGTAAGCTTTGATATATTCTAGTCAGGATGTGTATGATGTTTATATTTCAATATTAAATCATGAAAACCAGAGAATAGAGACATAATATACAAGAATCTCAAATTCATGGTTATTTTTTTTTTGCTTGCCTTTTATAATATTTTTATGAGAACTCTACATCTTATTCATAATTCAGATAGAATTCAGTTTTATGTTAGAGTCATATTTCTTTTCATCTTGTACATTTAAAACTTGACAATTTCATTACATCACCATTACTTTCATTATGTTTGTTTAAGTTCAAATTAATTTCTTTAAATTTATTCTACCTCTCTTTATTTTTTGTGCCAAATTTCTTTCTCTCTTTTCTGACTAACATAATATTTTATTTCAATTATTCATGAATTATATAATACTCTTTCAAAGTAAATCTTGAAAAACATCATAAAAACTTGAAGAGATCTGGTATTTTTTTTAATCCAACTTTATTTTGTTTGTGGTTTAAACTCTTTCAATAATATATGAAGATCTAGCTTAATTTCTCAAGGGTGTGCTAGCTTATATATCATTATCCCTTGATCCATCCAGTCAGAGTTATTCAATCATGTAGATTGGATTATGATCATTTGGTTTAATCACAAATATAAATAGTTTCTCCCGAATTATCATGACATTCCTGTTATAATTTATAGAGTATCTGTTATTCATAATATATTTAGTTCTCAATACATTTATTATTTTGATTGTGTTATTATTTATGTTGATATTGGTATAATATTATATATTGATATATATACTAGATGTCTATATATTAACTATACAGACTATAACTATATTATCAAAACTGACTGATGTTTCCGACAAAATATATAAGCTTATAAAATTAGGCTGTTCATTTTGTTAAATTAAATTATTTTGTGTCAGATTGGAAATACCCAAATACAGACAGAAACCAGTTTATTTGTATATATATTTCAAGTTGCAGTCTGAATATTTTGTTGTGTTGTATTATTTGTTTAATTTTGCAATGCCTTAATGTTTGATGCTTAAATAGGGACTATGTTAAAACTGAACACATAATTTTAATCTTCTGTAATCTACTTGTTTTTACACAGTTAAAATAATAGAAATATCTCAAGTTTAATCAAATATGTTATAAAATATTATAGATTATCATAATAAATCTTTCAGTTTCAAAAGAGATTTAGGTAAAGTGTATTATGTGGAAATTACAAAATAAATCAAACTATTACTATGGATTAATTTTTGAACAAAATAGTAATAATGATCAATATTAAATGTACATGTTAAAATAACCATAACTTAATGTTAATTATTGACTTAATTTGATTTGACATCTGTTAATATTATTATCAACCTATTAGAAGTTTTTATACTTGAACTATGCAATGGATATATTTAGAACCTGTAGAAGAATTAGACAAATTGACTTGTAGAGTGCCTGATACAGAAATATAATCTTCTTGATTCCTAGATTCTATCTGAAACAATATTCTAGAGATTTTTGTTAGAAACAGGGTGAAACAAGTTGGAAATAGTTATAGAAATAACATTTTTTTTTTAATCTGATCTGATTTTGTCACTGTCTAATTTCTCTCATTACATCCTTTCTTTCCATGACATCACTTTTATCTTTATATGATATTATAGATGATATATCATGAAGAATTCCGGGCACTCTATTCAAGTTATTATTAGACTACCAAAGATATTTCATTTACTGATTATAAACAGTCTAACATTAGTTCACCCTATTTGCTTTTGTATTGTAGTGATTTTATAACAAAGTATTTTTTCTTCTTCAAAGTTTAACATTTAAGTATTTGAATCTCTATATTTTACACTAAAATAAGATTTTGGATAATAAAAATATACAGTTTTTTCAATGTTTGATTTACAAACTCAATTTCAACTATCTGTAGTTTTTATCAGTAGTAAGATTCAATCTTGGAAATTGGAATCTTTGGAAATTTAGACTGTGATCAATTAACAAGGTCATTAATAATATGTTCTAACTGGTTACAACATGATATAGCTGAATGTAATATGGTTTATTATATTCTGAAAGATTTATCAGTCCTAACTTCTGTGGTGTATTGTAATTAATTGACAGATTAGGAGAACTAGACTTTAATTCTGAGTAATACTGATAATATAAATTAAACAGTAGATATTTCAAACAGATAATTAGATTCAATAATTTGCTAGATTTGTAATTTTGAAGAAGAGAAACTGTTGCTTTATGTAGTTTATAGAGAATATTAACATGGTTATTTTTTAATTTTGTATAATACATCATGATGTACGTGTTTGTAAATATGATTTCACCCTTTATCATATTCATTACAATTTTCTTCTGCTGATTGAATTTTTAACATCATCCAATCTTCATTGATCAATGTGCAAAGTTTTGTCAGTGTTTTGTTGATAGATAATTAATCAAACACATTGTAAGTTTAACACTTCATTCACTGATTTTTAAAATTCTTTGATAATCAACTAGTAAGTAATAATACTAGTAATAAATAAACATTGTTTCATTCAATAGTTCACTGTGAGATTTCTCTCTTGTTTCAAAAGATTATTTTTAAAATACATTAAATTAAAAACATCAACTAATATAAAAAGATTTTAAACTTGAATTCATATCATATTCAAATGAAAAAAACCTGCCATGAATCATATTTCTTTGTAACCATGTGCTGTCAAAAATGAACAAAAGTCTGTTGGATGTGATTGTCAAAACACAATAGCATTATCAGAGTTATATAGAAAGAAAAACAGAAAAAATCATACTATTTGATGATGTCTGAATATTTGATGATGTCTGATTATTTGATGATGTCTGATTATTTGATGATGTCTGATTATTTGATGATGTCTGAATATTTGATGTCTGAATATTTGATGATGTCTGAATGATGTCTGAATATTTGATGATGTCTGATTATTTATCTATGACAGACACAAGATATATAAATGATCACATCATTAGGTTGGTAGATATAACATTGCCATATATTTAAAAATTTTGAGTTTAAGTAGAAACAACAAGTATTGGTGGTCGTAAAGCTGCCTTAATATTTTACCTTTAAATAATAATTTTGATATTTATATGCAAATTCTAGTATTAGTTTGAATTAGATATTTTTGTTTTATATTGCCCATAGGTTGCTATGCTTATTTAGAAATTTTCACAGTAAATATTCTTAATTTTGTATTGATTGAAATTATATTATGGCTTTCCCACCTATATCTTATCACCTTCATTAGTATTATAGCAATGTGTATTTTGCCTAAAATACTTCTTCATACTGTACTATTTGTATGTGCAAAATGTATAACACATGAATCAAAAGAATAAAATTGTGCTTCAAATAATCATCCTATATTTTGTCTATGTTTTATAGGATGAAGGTTTGTTAAGATTTGTTATTAGAATATTGTAAAATCAGAATGGATCCAGTTCTATCTACAATCATTACCTAATAATACTAGATTTGACTAAGATTCTTTCAAAATATACAATTTGATTTGTTTGTAAATCCTTGTTTGAGACTTATTATAAGATCTTTATGATAGACCACTGACTTTTGGAGAGATTACTAGAGGGAGCCGCAGTGGCTCAGTGAGTTAGACGCTTGCTCGCTAACCTGAAGGTCCAGGATTCAAACCCAGCATAGGTCGAGATAATACCTTCAGATTTTTCAACACAGTTTCCCCCTGTCAGTGATGCAGGTAAGAGGGGCTGACATGGAAAAAGCGTCTAGTCGTTCGGATGGGACAATAAACCGAGGCCCCGTGTGCTACAGGCTGTGCACGTTAAAGATCCCTCGACAGTTGGAAATCGAAAAAGAGCAGGCTAATGCCGCTGTCCTGGCAAAATTTCCCTCATTGCACCCTGCATGGCATTGCCCGTCATTAGCCCACATGGTGCAGAAAAGTAGGACGTAAAACTCCATTCATTTCATTTCATTTGAAGAGACTACAGACCACATTAAGTTCTATAATAGATTTGCCTCCCATTTTAACTACACCATATCAATAGAGTTATCTATATATGACTATATAATAACTATACAAGTTGGATGCTGCTCTCCATGTAGTCAAACGATCCACTGAAATTATCATTCTCCAGAAATAACATAACACTAATATATACCCCACTAATACAATATTATTATATGTAATAGTTATATTTTCTCACTAACTCCTGGGTATATGAAATTGTAAAGACCCATTATATGAAGGTGCACTGAATGGGATTAAAATTCAATTGTATTATAAGGCAATTGAAACTAGATCAGTAGTTCATGTATAACTTATAAACTTTAAGTCTATATAAGATTTCAGGAAGTACACTATGATATTATAAAGTATAATTTATCTATTTGTAATGCTATAATTGTATCAAGATGAATATGGACATTAGTTTCGATATTCTGGAACTAGCTTATTACACCACACTTCGACGTGACAGTAAGATTTTGTTTATCATTTTCCATTACGTGTCCGGGAGCCGCGGTGGCTCAGTGAGTTAGACGTGTCCATCGTGTGTATTTTGAACATCATTTTGAAGGAAGCTCAGTTCATCTTATATGTTTTAAATACATGATAAATATTGTGATGAGATGAACTGTGGTATGATATCTAGGTTGTATTAATTGATGTATATATTTATAATAATACTTTATATTTATATCTCATAATAACAACACAATTTCTTTACCAGCTTATTGGGGTACCATTAACTATTAATTATATCAACTGATTGTTTAACGGTGATAACTGAGTTAAAACCCTACTGGTATTTTTGAACGATTATATTATTTCTTTGTGTATAACGATTTTGAATAACAGATAAATGTATAAATGTATATCTTTGTCGTGGTCAGTTAGAATCCTAGTTATTTTCACCTCTGATATCTCTATACATAATATTCATACCAAAATAATACAAAACAATAAAACTTGTGTTTCAAATTTCGTTTGGGTCTGATATTATGAAATTGGATACGGGGAGAAGATGTCGGTGCAGTGTTGATATTTCAAAAGCAACTGTTTACAGGAATCTCTAAAAGTCTGGAACTCATTAACTGCCATGAATGTTTTTTGCTTTAAAAACATTCTGTAAATTATATGTATGGCTTGTGTAACCTCAATTTATAGTAGTTCATTAAGCTATAAAATCTTTTTTCTGTACAGTTTCTTTTTTTAAACGAAAGTTAGAAAGTTGATGTTAAAATTGAAAACAGGATTTCTGGTTTTTGTTCCGATGTTTCTGTGAGTTGTTGTTATATTTTTGGTCAAAATCGTTTATAGTTCATTTGATTTGTTTATATGGAAAGAATGGATTTATTTTAATTGATCCATAAAGTTAATGTAGAAAAGATATCTGTGACCATACCTATAAATGGAAACAATTATTGGAAGAAAACTACTCATTTAAAAGTAAAATGATTTTCTATCTAAAAATCGGTTGTGAAACTTTGTGTGGATTATTTTTTTTAATCTGACAATACAATCGTTAAGCGATTCTCGAGGATTATAACAGCATTTCTATTTGACTTCTAAACAAAGATTGATGGTTGGCATTTCCTTTATAAACTTTCACAGACCAGAAGATTATATAAACGTATTTGAAGTGGTCATCAACATCTGTTAGTCTGAAACTAAATTACTTTTAAATAGCAGGAATAATTAACACAAGGTGTGTTCTAATAACTTCAGTAAAGCCAGGGGTCTATAGGTGTGTTCTATCTGTCTATCTGGAACTAACACCAGAACATCTCTTTGTTCAACACCTGTCAGAAGGAAGTAGAGTTAAAATGAGGTGAAATTTAGGAGGCATTATTATAATTACATATTTCAGTTATTACCATGGAAACCTGGCCATTTATTGACGATTCTCTAAGTTTGTGATCGGAAACGGCTGGTGTTTTAGAGAGTTTTTTTCTTGGAACATAATTTGTTTAAGAACTGGAAATAGAGTTGATGAAATGTAGAATAAACTAGGTGATGGATTGTGTTTTTCAAGTTATAACCAAGAACATCCTTATTACTGTTCATTTCAGTCGTCAAGTGATATGAGGTGATTGGAAGAGAAGTGATGTCTCTAAGCGGAAATCAGTTTTGATAATGCGGTGACTGCTTGCCATGGGCGTCTTTAGGTTAAGGTCGAGTGTGTGCGTTCTGTGCAATATCATTGACGGATTATGTGTCTTTTATAAATAATTTTACCTAATCTATTTTTATTATACTTATAAGATATTTAATTCTCATGGAAGTAGTTTTTGATGCTAGAATAAGTTTTTGATGGATAAGTTCGTTTGTTTTCCGTGGCATCAAGTCTTTTTTCACTGTGATGGTAACTTTGGTGTACGATTTTATGAAATTAACACTGTATAGTTCCAATATATTTTAATGAAATGTGTGTATAAAGTGTAGATTAATACTAAGAACTATGCTATCTGAATTATATTTTGATATTTAATATCACGATCTAGTTTGTTGATTGGAAGAAATTAATCATATTGTAATATTAAAATAAACTTTGAATAGATATATTGTTAACAATGGTAACTATTTTATAATATATATATTTTAATCTTGTTTATAAATTATGTATATTGATATATGGAATCAGATTGAACAATCTTTAGAATCAAATTTTTAACAGTATGTGATAATGAGAACAAGATGGGACAGGATATTTCTCTAGAGGATATAACACAACATATTCCAGGACAGTTTGATTTGAAGGGTCAGTTAAAACGTAAGTGTCATTTTCTTCCTTTAGAAGTTAACATCTATAGAAATATATTATGGTCTAAAATATTTGTTAAAGCTGATTCAGGTCATGATATTCGTGTCATTACTATCTATGTGTCATTTCCATCTGGAACGACTTATTACGGATCTAGACCTAGGGTCAGTATGATCGACGTCTGATACAGCTAGCACATCATACTCTCCAGATTAATTTTGATTGGTCTATATTTAATAAGATAATTCCGTTAATCAAAATCTCGTACAAAGTTTGACAAAATCGAAAGTAAAAGTAGTATAGTAATTGACTCCTCGAAAGAGAGCCTGCTTCACGCCTCACTACTGACCTATACATTAGACTGATTTCATGCAGTAGATGTGTTAGAGATTTGTAAACCAATATATTAGCTAGATTTGAAACAAATTGCATACCCCATATTATGAGAGATTTTCAATTAAACTTGATTTTAGTATGCCTAAAGCATATTTCACATGTATACAGAAATATGAAAATAAACTATTTACGATATGTTGTAATTGATATACGCTTTAAGATAAATTATAATTTAAAAAACATGCATTTAAACAAGTCTGTATTTAACTCAGAGATAAATATTATAGGAAAATGTGGGCAAAATTATGCGCAGCATTGACTAATCACTGGTAGTGTTAAAGAAAACAACGACTCACCATGAAACACTGGTAGTGTTAAAATAAACAACGACTCACCATGAAACACTGGTAGGGCTAAAATAAACAACGACTCACCATGAGACACTGGTAGTGTTAAAATAAACAACGACTCACCATGAAACACTGGTAGGGCTAAAATAAACAACGACTCACCATGAGACACTGGTAGTGTTAAAATAAACAACGACTCACCATGAAACACTGGTAGGGCTAAAATAAACAACGACTCAGCATGAAACACTGGTAGGGCTAAAATAAACAACGACTCACCATGAAACACTGGTAGGGCTAAAATAAACAACGACTCACCATGAGACACTGGTAGGGCTAAAATAAACAACGACTCACCATGAAACACTGGTAGGGCTAAAATAAACAACGACTCACCATGAGACACTTGTAGGGCTAAAATAAACAACGACTCACCATGAGACACTTGTAGGGCTAAAATAAACAACGACTCACCATGAAAAACTTGTAGGGCTAAAATAAACAACGACTCACCATGAAACACTGGTAGGGCTAAAATAAACAACGACTCACCATGAAACACTTGTAGGGCTAAAATAAACAACGACTCACCATGAAACACTGGTAGTGTCAATAAAATAATGACCCACAATCAGATAATGGTAGGGCTGGATTAAAAAATGACCCACCATGAGATGGTGGTAGGGCTAGAGTAAACAATGACCCACCATGAGATAGTGGTAGAGCTAGTGTAAACAATGCCCCACCATGAGATAGTGGTAGGGCTAGAGTAAACAATGCCCCACCATGAGATAGTGGTAGGGCTAGAGTAAACAATGCCCCACCATGAGATACTGGTAGGGCTAGAGTAAACAATGACCCACCATGAGATAGTGGTAGGGCTAGAGTAAACAATGACCCACCATGAGATACTGATAGGGCTAGTGTAAACAATGCCCCACCATGAGATACTGGTAGGGTTAGAGTAAACAATGCCCCACCATGAGATAGTGGTAGGGCTAGAGTTTGATATTGGAATGATAAAGAATGATAACCTGTATGTTTATATAGAATTGTTTAGTTTTGATCTGAACCAGGAATGTTTAGTATAATGATCTTAACATTTCCCGCCAATTCTAGCCATCTGGTTTGAAGATTTAACGATTTGTCTGACCTGTGTTCATCATTTACTTCCCTTCATATTGTTATTGACCTTGACGGTTTTTGATGCAATGTAAATTGTACATACACCCATGATGTGCATTTGTTTCCATGGATACTATATAGTAAATATAAAGAAATAAAATACAGTTTTGATATTTATCAGACATTAAAATGATGCGCAACCTAAGAACTATTTTTTATTTGATTTCTATAATTTCTGTAGGCATTCACTGTGATGTCAATTTGCTTGTTGTGGACAATGTACAACTTGGTATCCTAAGTTTGGGAGTCTAGAATAATTGGGAATACTAATCAAGAAGATGTTTTTGATTAAAGTAAGAGACTATAAAACACAGACAACATGTATTTTCTTGAATATATAGTGGTCGTTTATATGCCAGCACTATGTTTAAAAACCATTTCTGTCAAAGTAAGGGAATTTCAAGTTCTCTAGAACCAGATGTTAAAAATGGTAATGGCGGCCAGGATGATTAATGATGGTACATGTTAGAACTATCTTATTAAAAAGATCTGTATCTCTTGTGTATGGCTGTAATTTATTGCTAATTTACTTTCTTGTACTTGTTCTTGTTCTAGTATATCATTAATAGACTTATCTATTGCTCTGTGACCTAGGCCAGTGCTTTCATTGAGACTCGTCTCTATACACCGTATCACTAACTGGAAATAGTACTATGTTTGTACTATCTATATGAAGCAGTGAAACGTATCGTTCAACTTTCCAACCGTTTAGTAGTTTTCACATCGCATTTTTGCTCATATATACTGATCTTCTTTTGTTCTCTAATTTCACTTCTCAATTTAACTCAGGGACGGAGGGTGCATTCGACCATTTTAAATTTCATTTCTTTCACTCCTCTTCTGTTGTATGTAGTAATAATACAAATATTTGTTTCATATATTTTAGTTGATGAGCATTTAGAACATTTATTGGAAAGAATACACCGAAAATTTAATCAGAAGGAATTTCAACATCCATGTACAAGATATGTTCGCTATCGAACTAGGATTGGAGCTCCATCTGTTAATAGAAGATCTTTTACTGAAGAAGATCTTGTACGGTTTGCAGGTAGGATAGTCATATTTGATTTTACAAAAACGCCGACTCGGTTTATTCCGAGTTGTTAACACATGACTTCAAGTCATCAGGAATATCAATCGGTACCATTATCTCGTCTTGGTATCAATCTTCTAGAACTATAGAAAGTTATACTAGCAATATAATCTGTGGATTTACAATGAAGAACAGATCCAATAAACGCGATAAGACTGTAAGATGCTCAGTAGCGTATTTAGGCAGTGCTTTTTTAGGAACGGTTATTTAAAGTTTGACCAATCGTACCTTAGTCCCAGAAACGGGAACTTTATAGTTTAGTGAAAAAGTAATAGTGTTTATAGCTCACTATCAAAATTCAACCTTTCAAATCCATGTGTGTGTTATCGATGTTTGAAAGTTGAAATGACGACTCGTCTTTTCTTGATACTCCGTAATATAAAGTAAAGACAGTGTTGTCAAGTTTGTTGTCTGAATATCTCAGGTGAAACTCTGAGTAACAACAAGTATTAGGTTCTGTTATAATATTTCTATATATTGCTCTATAATTGATGTATACAGTGACAATATTTTATTATTATAGAAAAGGTATATTATATACAAAAATAAAGTGAAATTTGTAGTTTTAAGTAAATTTGAAGGGATTATGCGATTTTCATGCAATTCAAATAGTATGAAGACTAACTATATATATTTTACACCCATAAAATGATGTGAATCGCCGGTCTTTTTGGCCCACTTTATGGGTAAACATCATATTGAGAAATGAAGACGGGACTACAAGGGTGTCGTAGATGTATCGGTCCCGAAATAAAATCGGTTTAAAAGTTAAACGACATCGGGTGATCTAAGGTGAATATTTTAATTAAGGTCTATACTTCGACAGGTAATATGACATATTGGTGTCAGCTTTACCTCTAAACCTATTTATCATACTTGTCAGTTTCGGCCATTTTCCTAGTTTTACTCGTCAATAGTCAGTCACTCTCTTCTATCTTAGTTTAGTATATCTAGTGAAAACCTGTAAATATTTCTATTATGTAAAGTTGGACTATCAGTTTTGGAATATTACTAGAATGGATTGGATAATTCAATCACCCAGAATCAGACAATTTACCCATCCATCTTGACTGTCGAAAATGTTTAAATGATGAAAACTTTGTAGAAAAATACACCTCCTGTGTACAATGCATCAAATATATTAGGGTCTCTGGTGAAGACAGAGTGATAACATGATTCAGTTCAAGACAGTCACGGAAATTGTCATTATAAAGCGGAGGAGATGAGATTAGACAAGACTAGCGTGATAATAATTATCATGATGATTGAATATTAAAATGTTATTGAATGAGACAGTTGAATAAAATAATTATGTGTCTGCGATTACGTCGATGTAAAACGCAGGTTGAAGGTAAGACTCTGGTTTTTAATTTTCAGAGATCAAGTTTTAAGTCTGTATATATTTTAAATAGTGAAGTTGAGATTCGATACCATCTTACGATTTATTACGATTATTATCGAGATTCATTTATTGGATAAGAAACGAGAAACAAATAGTAGAAATGTGTAAAATTACTAACAAGTTTGTCACTATTAAGCACTTGAGAACATTTTAAAGTAAGGAATTGTGAAAAAAAATTATGAATTTTTTGCAAATTTTGATGTGAAAATCATACTTGGAAAATGGAAAAAATGACACAGTTTCTTATAAACACAAGAATTCTGTCATTTGTTATTAAAGGGTTCTAAGAATTAATCATGCCGATACATCACGATTATTTTTATCAAACGCGCATCGATAAGAAGGAAAGAATCGTGTTCCATCAATTCATTGTTGCAGTCCTAATTTCTAAATAGTCCAATTTCACTTTTCATCCTACCAGCCCTAAAACGAAACATATAGCCATTACCTGCTAGGTAGGGTTAAAAGCTCGATTTCATTTTATCGATCGATGATCGAATCTTCAAGTTGTATGATATCATTTTAGTGAAGTAGCTTGCGGTGTTTATTATCTGTTCAATAATCTCAGTCGTTCTCATAATAACTGATATCTTTCCCGCTCAGGGCATCTTTAATACTGTTTAAATCGTTTAATACGCCATTTGAGTAATTCTGTATCGTTTATATCCATCGTCACCGGCTAGCCAGTTCTTGAAGGTAAGTAATATTTCGAGATTTTTTCACTCAGAAACAAAAATACCAATATTATTGTTGAATATTGTTTCAAATTTCAAAGTTATTATCTTCAAGCATGCATTATTTTAACTATTAGAAATCCGGTAAAATTAGATTACCGACAATATTGTTGAATTTTGCTCGTTTGATACCTTATCTTATATTATGATTCATTCTATTATATGAGAAATGTCTAATTATTTTTTCAGAAGAGATGAAAAACTCTGTATATATAGTGATAATACCAGTATTAGGTATTCTATGTATTTATAGCATCACAACTCGGTGGTATCACAATATAAATTATGTCACTACCCCCTTAGTTAATGTGACGTCACCGATCAAATACCAGTCATTGTTCGACCCACCAACTTGCCCTGGTGGTATCCAGCAAATGTTAGAAGGTAAATGGCATCAAAGGAAAATGACGCCGAATCAAGAACGTGAAATAAACGACTTTTTAAAGACGTATAGAGGTGGTTGGGGTCTGCCAGATACACTCCAGAGAAAAGATCTGTTATGTGGAAACGCCAGTTTCGCCCAAGATCCAAAGGTCGTATATCGGATGTTTCGTGCGTTATGTTCGCCAACAGGAAAGACGCCTTGTTGCATGAACAAAAAGTGTGTAGCAAAAACAGTGAAGGAGTGCCAATGTAAAGATTGTTTGGATCTACGTCAAGAAGCTCATGCCGAATATTCCGACTGGGTTCCTTCCAACCACAACTGTAAAATTCGTTTGTTTAAAGGGAATGAGGCCTGTAAGATATTTGATGGAATGACGGTGGTGTTAAGTGGTGATTCTCTCATGAGACAAATCTATATTGCTTTTCAAAAAATTCTTAATCATGATATGATTTGGGGATCATTGAAAAAAAACGCTCCGATAGGTAAGTACATTAATTTGTCCGTGTACCACCATAGATCAGAATACTTATCTTCCTCTATACTCATATTTCATCATAATTCAGTTGAAGTCTCTTTACCTCATACTCACAATCCGGTTTAAATCTTTACCTCATACTCACAATCCGGTTTAAATCTATACCTCATGCTCACAATCCGGTTTAAATCTATACCTGATGCTCACAATCCGGTTTAAATCATTACCTCATACTCACAATCCGGTTTAAATCATTACCTCATACTCACAATCCGGTTTAAATCTATACCTGATGCTCACAATCCGGTTTAAATCATTACCTCATACTCACAATCCGGTTTAAATCTTTACCTCATACTCACAATCCGGTTTAAATCTATACCTCATACTCACAATCCGGTTTAAATCTTTACCTCATGCTCACAATCCGGTTTAAATCATTACCTCATACTCACAATCCGGTTTAAATCTATACCTGATGCTCACAATCCGGTTTAAATCTATACCTGATGCTCACAATCCGGTTTAAATCTATACCTGATGCTCACAATCCGGTTTAAATCATTACCTCATACTCACAATCCGGTTTAAATCTTTACCTCATGCTCACAATCCGGTTTAAATCTATACCTGATGCTCACAATCCGGTTTAAATCATTACCTCATACTCACAATCCGGTTTAAATCTTTACCTCATACTCACAATCCGGTTTAAATCTTTACCTCATGCTCACAATCCGGTTTAAATCTTTAACTCATACTCACAATCCGGTTTAAATCTTTACCTCATGCTCACAATCCGGTTTAAATCTTTACCTCATGCTCACAATCTGCCCTGCTCATATTTCTTATATTATAGTCTCTATGTTGACAATCTTATTTGAAATTCTCTTTATATCAAGCATAAATTGTGTGATAATACTTTTCTATTTTATGAATTTTATGAATTAAAATATATACTATAATCAGTTCTCTTGAGTAAGTTGGATTTACTTTGAGTGTAAATTCATTGTTTTTCTTAAATCAGCAAATAATAACAAATAAAAAATTTCTTCTTTCTTTAATTTCAGAGCAATTAGAGAAATGTAAAGGATTGTATAGTTTTACCTTCGAGAAATGTCGAGAGTTAACTGAAACCTATACCAGTGAATTGTGCAATGGTCGAGTGAACTTAACCTTTTTTGAATATTACAACGCCGGATTAGCAAAACAATTTATCCCAGCTGTTCAGAGTTTAACACAGAAAAGTAAAAGTTTGGTGATTACTGGAATCGCAAATCATGATAAATTTGATACTAAATTAATATACGAAAAATACTTGAAACCTGCCATTCAGATTAAAAAGGTGACAAAATGGCCCAAGTTGTTATGGACTATGCCCCCAGTTTCTGGACTTCTGAGAGAAACGAAGAGTAAAATCCCCGAAAAAGAAAAGAAATTTGTGAAGAAACTGACGACCTTGCTGAATAAAGATAATGTACCAATATTTGACACTTATAAACTTACCCAAGGTGCAATGAGTTTAGACGGTGTTCATTATGGAATGGGTGTAAATCTGATGAAAGTTCAAATAATGTTGAATTATATTTCTGACTTGAGATATAATGAATCTTGGTGAATCTAAGGAGACATCACAGATATACGGTGGTTTGTTAACGACTTGTTTAATTTTTTCGGATTAAATTAATAAAAAAATAAAATACATAAACTTCGTAATTGTAATTCAGAATACAAAATAATAAACATGGCGTAATCGTATCAATACATTAACTTAAATCATGTTTTTCAAAAAGATAAACAAACCACCAAATTATGTAAGATAATGTCCACATCGTTATATTGACGTTCAGAGTCTTTATTTCAATACAAATGAAAATCAAATGAATGGAGTTTTACGTCCTACTTTTCCATGTTGGCTAATGAAGACGGGCAACGCCATGCAGGGTGCGATGAGGGAAATCTTGCCAGGACAGCGGCATATGCCTGCTCTTTTTCGATTTCCAACTGTCGAGGGTTCTTTAACGTGCACAGTCTGTAGTACATTAATTTCAATACAAGAAATACTGTAGAAAATTATACTGTGATCATGTTGTGGTCGTTGTTTAGAAACTGAAATAATATGAAATGTTTTATTTATAGCTTTTGTTATATATGAATTGAAGGTGATTGCAAAATGTCTGAAATAAAATGTATTATGAACAAACGGATTATCTCCCTTTACCTCTATACTTTAATCATATAGACTTCACAAAATGAACTAACGAATGAAATAAATTATTTGAAAAGAAATACGTATTATGAAGGTAATAGGTTCGACTTGACTTATATTTTAGATGGGTCTGAATTCTATTTAACATTCAACCCATTGAAAGACACATGATACTTGGCATTGGCTTCTCCCAAATTTTCAACACCCATTTACAGCTGGACTGACTGAAATATTGCGAATATCATTGGTCAAGTGTCTAGAATGAAGATAATAATGTCGAGGTAGAGAATATCATTGGTCAAGTGTCTAGAATGAAGATAATAATGTCGAGGTAGAGAATATCATTGGTCAAGTGTCTAGAATGAAGATAATAATGTCGAGGTAGAGAATATCATTGGTCAAGTGTCTAGAATGAAGATAATAATGTCGAGGTAGAGAATATCATTGGTCAAGTGTCTAGAATGAAGATAATAATGTCGAGGTAGAGAATATCATTGGTCAAGTGTCTAGAATGAAGATAATAATGTCGAGGTAGAGAATATCATTGGTCAAGTGTCTAGAATGAAGATAATAATGTCGAGGTAGAGAATATCACTGGTCAAGTGTCTAGAATGAAGATAATAATGTCGAGGTAGAGAATATCACTGGTCAAGTGTCTAGAATGAAGATAATAATGTCGAGGTAGAGAATATCATTGGTCAAGTGTCTAGAATGAAGATAATAATGTCGAGGTAGAGAATATCATTGGTCAAGTGTCTAGAATGAAGATAATAATGTCGAGGTAGAGAATATCATTGGTCAAGTGTCTAGAATGAAGATAATAATGTCGAGGTAGAGAAACTGCGATGTAAATAATAAGTTAGTAATGAGATTTATAGTTATTGTTTTTGGAAAGTAAATAATAACTATACTATTGTCAGGCTGTGAGTTAAGGTACATATCGGGATTAAAAATAATTAAATTGAAAATTATTTTATGTGTGTAAAATGACGATAGGTTACAAAGTTATTAGAAAAGTCGGTTGAATATTCTCTCTTGTTATTTCAGAAGAAAATGATGGATTTCCCCTACCATCTACTGAGGCTGAAATCCAAGCGTTTGACAATGAAGTATTTATGGGGTATGATAGTGACATTGAGAGGTCAGAGGTCAAACAGAAACCAAGGTCACGCTCTATACCGGAGTTATACCATAACTTGAAAGTTCCCAAATTTACAGGTAAGACAAATTTAGATAAACTATATTTTGAAAATAATTTAGGGGTTATGAGTTATCTTACCGTGAAATGATTCTTCAATGTTTGTTTTACAGGTTTTACTGTGTTTTTATTTTTCACCTGTTTGAGGTATGTGTGACAGTTTACCTGAATTCTCACGTAGAGATGATCACTGTAGCGTTAAATAATATACACCTACCATACTCAGTTAGGATATGTTTATTGAAGTACATTATTAACGTATGGAGTTAGTCAGAGAAATTTCTATTTCATTCAAATCTCCAATACAAGTGATGACTTTAATGAAGTGGGAAAAGGTGATGGAGAAATGTTTTATTTTCTTCAAAGACAGTTCAACCTTTCTGTCATGTCTTGAGCCATCATATATATATATATATATCTGTTAGAGGCTGTGGATAAGATCCTAGTTTGTTATTTATATCTATATATTCAAACAGCTTTCAAAAAGAAAACAAGGTTACGTAACATAACAATTGCAACGAAAAAATTATTATATCATAAACCAACTGATAGAGGTTTTTAGTCATCATGGTGGTTGAAAGGTAACAAGTTACTATCCAACAGAAAGCACTGGCACAGGATTAAAGCAATGTTCATAAATGTTAAAGTTACTACATCTTCTTGGTTAACTTTCAAACATGCTGTAACCTACAGTGGTGACTATAAATATAAAAACACCAGTTAAATTTAATCTTTTCAACTTATTACTAGTGATAAGAAACTATAAATAGATTTGTAAACAGATACATGTATTATATAAGTACAGTTATTTTATCACCTAATCTCATGATTATTAATATGGATATATTGAGGTGTTATAGTAAGAAAACAACCTGTAAATCTAACCAATGGAAATACCTAACAAAAGTTTTTGAACAAATTTTCTTTTTTCACCAATATTTTTTCATAGTAACATATGTTTTGGTGTTAGAAGGTGATGAGAACATAGTCTCATGAAAGCACTGGCTTAGGTTACAAAGTTTTGGTGTGATTCAAGCACAAAATTATGACCAAGTTAAACATATCCACGTTTAACTAACCTAATGGTATTATGGTTAATTTATTAAAATTATGGTAACAAACTTGCTCTTTCTTCATACCCTGGACCCTGGTAGATGTTTCAGTGACCACCTTTATTACTAATAAACCATTTATCTCTTGTGATTTTGTCATGGTTAAATAAGTGTCAAGTTGAAAAGAAATCTCAACCAATGTGGGATAAAATTGGTGATTGCTGTTAAATTCTTGCACCTTATTGCAACTTCAATCTATAACATCACTTATAATCATAGACAATTCACCAGACTTTACATGATATCAAGTTGAGTTTTCTTGATAAAAAAACAGAATAGATTTTTATAATAAATCAATGCTCAGTTCCAATACAACTATCTAATAAAGTGAGCTACTTTATAATCTTCTAACCCAAATAGTCAATAATTCATGCAATAATCAGGTCACTGAAGCAACCGAATAAATTAACATAAATTAACATAAATTATTGATTGATTTTATCACCATAGTAACACCTCAGACATTATGAACCTTAGAAAATCAATAAATGTCATTTTAGGTCTTTTATACATTTATAATGACAAATTTAAATATAAGATAAATAATTTGATTGTTAACTGTTTTATAGATATAATCAATGATCATATTTACTCAAAAAATAGTTAATTGGTTTCAAATCCCATTCATAATTTATGAAAATAAAACATGAAATATGGCTCAATTGATTTAGTGTCTATGTGAAGCTGGATGGATGGCCTTCACATTGTACTGACATACAGAGACTGAAAGTAATGTGTGCGGTACAAGTATGTCTTGCATGCTCTTCTGTACGTGCAATCGAGACACGAGTCAGCAGCGTTCGTCAGGCACATGTATGGCGGGTAAGATTAGAATGAATCAATGAGTCACACGTCAATGAAGCAGGAAATTCCTCCATATTGGAACAAAAGAGTGAAAGATACTAACAGGGATTAAATAGGGAATATATTAATTTGTATGGATTATGTGCTACTATGAGTGGTTTGTATATATATATTTGCAATGATGTCTTTTGTAGCTTAGTATTTTGAGTGTTTTTTCAACTCTATTTTGATGATGTATAAGTTATGATAAGTATTATTAGGTCTGATAATAGCTAGTGAGTGTTCATATTGAGTTTCAGACATTATAAAAACAGTATTATTGTTCATCATTTAAAATCTATTTGTAGGCTCTCAAGTTATATTGATTTTTACTTCTTGCAGATCTTGTTTTACATCTATTGCATAAATTTTCATTCATTCATCATTCATTCATTCATTCATCCACTCCATTCCATTCATAGGAGAACCAAATTTCTTAACACCCACTTGTCTGTGGGTCTCAACCATTTTATAATTTTGGGGGTTGACTTGTGTAGTCTTTAGAAGTACAAGAAATGTTCAAAAATCTCATAATCCCCTGAAAAATACCTCAAACTAGGAATTTCACTCTCTATTTCTTTATTTGTCTTTTCTATATTTGGCAAGAAAAGATAATTCAATATTTTATCTTTCAAACATGGATAATTCTGGATGAATTTAAAGGCTAAAATTTGAACGATGAGCTGTGGACACTTGGCTATAAATTTGAACGATGAGCTGTGAACACTTGGCTATAAATTTATAGTTTCTGAGACTAAGGTAACAGATGGTGGAACTGTTCCTGTAACTATTAGTACTGCTTGTTAAATGGTGTTCATCTAAATCTGGGAAACCCTGATAAATAACAAACATTGGAAAACTCCAGTTCTGACAATTTTGGGGTAAAGAACATTTGTGATAAGATTATAAAACCTACAAATCATCACTGATTTTGACAATTTGTGAAGTAGAAATATTTGACTTTAGGGCCTTTTTCATAAAACAAAAATGATTCTTAATCTGTCTTCTTCTGTCAATCAATCAAAATTGAGTTTAAGGCTGTCGTTAGACCCAAACTGAAGTGACTATATTAAAAATAAAAACTAATAAAAAAAGGAAATGAAAGTTTGGTCTAATTTGAATTATTTTATAATATCTACTATACTACTATCATTTATAGATTTCAATTCACAGTAAAACCTATAACTGTCCTATGTTTTTAACCTGTCTGAGAGTTACAGATAATCAATATAAGTATTTTAGTCAAATAACTGAGTTACTATCTACCGGTATCTAGGGTTATTTTGATAGACTACTCAATCCACAGTTAGAAAGCAGAAAGAAATCAGGGTTTATTGAGATGTTAAGCTTACAGACATTTCTATTGAGTATTATATTGATTTTCTTATTAATTGTCTATTGAGGAAGAATTTATTGGAAGAAAATATCTCAATAGTTTGGTGACAATATTCATTAGATGGCTATTTTTCCTTTTTTTTTAAAACATTGGATCATGGACATCAAACTTTTTCAAATTATACTCTTTTGTGATAATATACCTTACAGTTAATTTTCTTTTATTCACTATTTCATACAAACTAATACAATACCTTGATATTTCTACATTGTTTATAATATTAATCAGGTTTTTAGGCTATAAAATCAGATCTATATGAGATTGGTATGTTAGTATTTGGATGTTATACAGTATGAGATACCTTTCCAATTCCAAGCAGATAGTCCCTTATAAACCTCTTTAATAATGAATTAAAATATATTTTTAGATTTCAAAACAAAATCAATGTTTTATTGTTTGTTTTATTAGATTTCTAATGAGAAGTATTAGTACAGTTGATTCAGTGCTATGGGTCTTTAATCAATTTTTCCGGATCATTAGAACACCTCTACTTTTAATTTATACAAGTATTATTTGTTCACTAATCAAATATATAATATGTGAAATCTTAAATTCTTAATCCTTAATTGATTGTAAACTTTACAAGATGTTTAAGGTCTATATTTTTGAATAGATTTATAAAGTTTTATGTCTCAGATTGTTCACTTACCATATTATTTTAATAGACTTTATATTGTACACTTCTCTCTATTATATTGTACACTTCTCTCTATTATATTGTACTCTTCTCTCTATACTTGTACACTTCTCTCTATTATATTGTACACTTCTCTCTATTATATTGTACACTTCTCTCTATACTTGTACACTTCTCTGTATACTTGTACACTTCTCTCTATTATATTGTACACTTCTCTCTATTATATTGTACACTTCTCTCTATTATATTGTACACTTCTCTCTATACTTGTACACTTCTCTCTATACTTGTACACTTCTCTCTATTATATTGTACTCTTCCCTCTATACTTGTACACTTCTCTCTATTATATTGTACACTTCTCTCTATATATTGTACACTTCTCTCTATTATATTGTACACTTCTCTGTATTATATTGTACTCTTCACTCTATACTTGTACACTTCTCTGTATTATATTGTACACTTCTCTCTATTATATTGTACACTTCTCTGTATTAAATTGTACTCTTCTCTCTATATTGTACACTTCTCTCTATTATATTGTACACTTCTCTCTATTATATTGTACACTTCTCTCTGTACTGGTACACTTCTCTCTATACTGGTACACTTCTCTCTATACTGGTACACATTTTACTATTAAATAATATATTATACCAATAATTTTATATACCGTACATAACTTAATAAAAAATCTTAATGAAAGTGAAAAGTAGACAATTTGTCAGTCTGTTGAATGTTTTTTCAGTATAAACAAGATTTTTCTTTTTGTATCTGTAACAGAATTTATATATATTGTTACAGGTTCTTTGTTTTTTCGTACTGTTTATTTTTGTTTTGTTTTCCTTCATATCAGAGCTTTATGACATGACATATACAATGAAATTCTGAATTTGATGGAAATGTTGAATTTGCACAGGGCACATTACCAAATTTCTTGTCCAAATTTCATCTAATGTGGTATGAACCTGCTTATTCAAATATTAGTATATAAATATATATATTGAACTTGTTGTGTCAGTCACCAATTTATTGGTTTTAATACGGTAAAGTTGTAAATGTTGATAGATGTAGAAAGCAGGATGTATTGGACTATTATCATTCTATCATATAGTTTAAAGTTGGTAAATAGTTGATATATATATTTACAGCTTTCTATTCAATGAAATCATTTTAAACAAGGTAATCAGATTATTGTTAGTATGGATATTATTTTATTGAATTATAATTTTATAGTTGTATTATATTAACCTGGACAGTAGATGACAGGGGATGAAAAAGGTTTTGATGTATCACAATGGTAATAAATTACTCAAAGTATCTTTTCTTTATTTTATTTTGTTTGTCAATTAGTTTTAGTAGGTCAAACTGATGAATCTTTCATCTACTCCTCTATATGGCAGACTGATATTTCTGTTATTAAAACCTTGTTATGTTTTGTTTACTAATATGGGGTATAGATTGGCATTGTCCAGTTTTCACTGATCAAAGCAAAAAAGAAAATAAAATTTGATAAACTGTCAAATTGTTGTAGGATAATATGATTGTTAAAAAACAAGTTTGACTATTAGAAGAATATATTGTTAGTTTATTAGAATAATAGATTATAATTTTATCTTCCTGTTTTATAAAAATCTTCCTTGTTATGAAATTATTTAAGAAAATAAAAGATATCATATTCGTGCCAATTTCACTATTGTTGACTGACTTGAATAAACTACATTAGTCTTAGTCAGTTTCATTTTAAAATGTTTAAGATATTGTTTTATGTATTTAAAGCCATTATTATTAAACCTCTATTCTTAGTTAGATTTTTTTATCTATAATATCATGGAATTCTAAAATTTAACTTTGAAGGGCATGTAATATATTTTACAATGTTTTTGGGTTCAACAATGGATAATGAGGCAATAAACACATGATAATTCTACACTTCCAGAAATTGAACATAAACTAATAATATTTTTGGACAAGATGAGGATGATGTGTATGTGGTATCAATATTTGTACCCTGGACCAGAACTTTGATTGGCATTCTCAGGGTTTTGGTGCAAGGATTTTGAATTTGTTTTGCCTTTGTTTATCAATGTGACCTGAATGTATATTTTATTATCTGATAAGTTTTTTTAGGTTTGACATTGTTTACACCTTGCTAACAACTTTCACTATGTTTTTTTGTTGATATTTGATTTTTTAGGTAATAACTAAAGTTGTTTCTGTCAAACACAGTCGTGTAAAATGGCTTAATATACCAGCAGTGTAAAATGGCTTAATATACCAGCAGTGTAAAATGGCTTAATATACCAGCAGTGTAAAATGGCTTAATATACCAGCAGTGTAAAATGGCTTAATATACCAGCAGTGTAAAATGGCTTAATATACCAGCAGTGTAAAATGGCTTAATATACCAGCAGTGTAAAATGGCTTAATATACCAGCAGTGTAAAGTTGGATTACGGTTTGTTGGTAATCATCAGCTGACACTGCTAAACCACATTACTAATGCTAAATTAATACAGTATTTGACAGCTCAGAAGTTTTAACCCAGTGTTAGTTGTCTTATCTTGATGAGTGACCATTTAGACCTAAAATATAAACAATCAGACTACAAACATTTAGTCAATTTTATTTCATTTCATTTCATTTCATTTCGTTTCGTTTCGTTTCGTTTCATTTCATTTCATTTCATTTCATTTTATTT